AAAGTGTTCTGAGATGAATCCTATGGTTGGCTCATCATCACATGACATAACAATAAAGGATGAAGATATCAATCGGGAAATACAAGTCAATGCAGATGTCACAACTGAACCATCAACAACATCAAATAATGGTGGGCTGAATAAAGTACAGTTGAATACAGACGGTGATGATAGGGAAGACACAATGCAAATGGAGTTAGAATTAACACACTATTCTGAATTATCAATGGAAAACACAAAGCAAATGTATCCATCTTCATCTGAAGAAGCAGCAACAGAGTATCTTGATAATGCTAGTCAAATATCTACACTAGTGGCTACTGCAGATGCAAAAGTCCAAATTGCAGTGATAGAGACACAGAATATCGAAGCCAGTAGCATGATTGAATACGCAGATGATATAGATGGTATACAATATATTGTTGATGACAAGAAAGTAGAACACAATGCAGTGGTAGAAGTTCTAAAAACAGACGATTCTGAAGCAGATTTGCCTCAAATAGGAAATATATATCACATAGATATGCACGAGTCCTTACAAGAACTTAATTTTCTCCCTGATTCAGCATCACCAATTGCATCATCTTCATCTTCGTCAATATCATCTGATTCAACTCTTATTGCAATAGAAAGGGGAACTGTTGGCAGAACAGGTGATTTTCAAGATCTGGAATTTGATGATAATCAGCCACCACCGGTGCCAACTTGCTCGCCTCCTGAATCAGACAGTGAAGAAATTGATATGGAGCCCACAACACGGCCTGAAAATCCGAATGATATTTGTGAAAATGAGAATGTACAGAATGACTATGGGTCGCTTAATACTGCATTCGAAACTCAGATCAAATCAGAAACAGAAATCATTTCACCAGTACCTCCTCCACTGCATTTTCAAGATGAGTTTCAAGAACAGCAACACAAACTTGAAAGTGGGTCCTCTGAAGAAGATGATGCTCAACTTGACATTGGAACAAATGAGACCAAAATGCCTGTTGAAACAACACAAGAGGATATTACCCGGTCATCAGAGATTATTAAAACTGAAATTGAGTATCAACGAATGACAACTGTGATGGAGTTCAGTGTAAATGACAAATCAGTAAATGCAGAATGGAATCCAACTACAGAAGCTCAGCAGGAAATCCATTCAGTCATTGGACAACCATGTTTACTCCAGGTAACAATCCCACAATCAGATGGTAGGTGTGAGACGTCAGTAGAACAAACCCAAGTAGCAAGTGTGAGCATGATGACCGAAAAGAATGTATATGAAATTCAGGATTTCAAAGAAAATATAACATTACCAACTGTAGAAATAGAAAATGATGTTCCGTCTACCCATGAAGAGCATATTTCATCAAATGTGACAGAAGGAGATGTAGTTCACCATGGATATACTGTACAGTCACTGACATTAGAACATACAGCAGTTGAATCAACAGTGGTAGAATATATTGAATATAACCAAAACAACAATGCTAGACATACAATTGTTTCTGGTCACAAAGGCAGCTATGATATCACTCCAGTTGAAGAAAATACTGATGATGCACTCTCAACTTCATCCTCCACTGAGAAAAGTGAATATTCAAAAAAGAAAGACAAGGACTGGAAAGGATTTAAGCTGTTTAAAAAGAAGAAACCTGAAACACTTAGTAAATCTAAGAAGCAAGAAGAAAAAGAAGAAACAAACATTCATGATGGGGCTACTGTCATGGGACAAGAAACTGACATTGCATTTACTGATGACAATGTTGTAGTGCAACATGACTGTGGAGTTGAGGATGGAGAATTTATAACTGATGTCTCAGTTGATGGCGATGAGAACCAAAACAAAGAAAATGACAAGTCAGCTACACAAACGAGTAAAGATCAACAGATAGATTATGACATTCAGTGTACAGAAGAACTGCTAAGTGTAGCTAAAACTGGAATTGACACTAAACAGTCCAAAAAGAAGGGTGGAACACTTAGTAAACTGTTCAAACGAAAGTCCCATACACGTGATGGGTTTGAAGATGGTGAGGAAAAGGACAAAGGAAAGAAAAAAGAATTACAAGATGAGAAAAAGAAGAAAAAACTAAAAACTGAGAAAAAGGGAAAGAAAAATGAAGTGCCCATAAGTGATTATTTGTTTTCTCTTCAGCCATTTGATGAGAAATCAATTGAAATGACACATACAATGACTGCCGAAAAGCTTACAGAAGAGTCACCTGTTACACCTCACACCAAAAATATATCGCCACGTTTGAGACCAAGTACTAAAAAGAAAAGAGCTCCTTTGCCACCTGCAGCAGTTACAAAAAAACCTACAGCTGCCGTTATGTACAAAGAAAAAGCAGATCAACAGACACAGCCTTCAACACAAGCAACTGGAATACCTATTGGTATCACAGAAAATGACTCGGTGACAAAATGCCTGACATTGGATTCTTCTGCTAGTAAAGAGGAAGAAGAAAAGAAAACCCATGATGTGTCAACAATGAAAACACGGAAAAGAGCGCCACCACCACCACCACCGCCAGCACTATCATCATCACCGTCAACTATTTCAGATGAAGAAAGCACAGTTATTGCTCCAGTGGAAATAAAAAATGAGGAAATGGACAATAATCACATACAAGAACTAGAGCTGTCAGGTAGTAGTGATAACTACAATACAAATTGTATGCAGATTGAAAATGAAGACACACATGATGGTAATGCATGCGATAGTTCTCAATTGTTTGATGCATTTGCCATGGACATTTCCACCATATCAAAAGTAGTACATGAAATGCCCCTTCCAGAAGGCATGCCACCACCTAAGCCAAAACGTTCATCATTAGACCTAGTCAACTACAATCCAGGAGATTTCAAAAAATCTGATCCATTTTTTGCATCACCAATTACTTCACAAGAGCTATTAACTTCACCAAATGCAACCAACATGGAAGGTGATGTTACAGCAGTCAGCATTGCCAATCAACCTGAAGAATCAGGTCAAATTCAAATGGAAGAAGTGTTGGAAACTGTAGCAGCAGTTACAGTGAACTACAGTACTGATGATCAACAAAATAATACAGGTATTATTGAAGACACTGTGCAAGAACATCCCAATCAGCCCACAGAAGCTAAAGAAAGAGGCCATACAGTGGACTTAGGGCATACAAATGAGACCGAAACAGACATGAATAAAAATATGGAGTGGGCTGATGTGAAAAGGAGACCGAGTGCTGCACAGAAGAGGAGACCAAGACCAGTGTCCATGGACGAGAGTTTTGCACCATCCCAAAAATACAGTGATGTTCGTATGAGGACAAAGACAATATTGGCAGGTCTCAATAGTAACCACAAAGACAAAGAAGCTAACCGACGACATACCATTCATGGGGATAACTTAGTCAAGGATGATAATAAAAGAACATTTATGTATGTTGACACTGAAACAACACACGGGAATGGTGGTAAACATTCTTTCAAACGTAATGAAAAAAAAAGTGATCCATCAATCTTTCAAGACTACGAAAATCTAATTGCATCTGCAAATAAAGCATTATCTCGTGTACATAGTGATCAAGAAATGAGCTGCACAGATTTGGATTCAGCGTGTAATAATAGATTAGAGACAGAGAAGCTGAGCGATGATAGAGCACAAGAAAATCTAAATCTTACTGAAGGACCTAACTCTTCGAATTCAGAAAATGGTAAGAAGATGTATAAGGCACAAAGTGTGGTGTCTGTAGCTCCATTGAGTAGACATGATAAGGAGAGACACAGACCAGATGATGATTCAGTGGTTTCTCTTTCATTTGCAGCTGCACCTATTGAAGTTGGGGAGAGAGCCACATCACCAATAACAAATGAACACCAATCAGTAGACATTCCCTCTGTAGTTGGCCTATCAAAGGTCAAGATACGATTACGAAGTCCAACTAGGCTGAAAAGACGAAAAAGGGAAGAAGAAACGAAAACCCAACCTGTGACAAGCAAAAAAGAAGAGTGGGTACCATCATGGAATACAAAAGAGCGTACTAAAGAACATGATGATGATGAAATGATCATGGTACATGCAAAGCCCATATTTATTGAGGAGTCACCTGAACTTCTGGAATCAACGCTGGCAAATGCTGCAACTTCTGAAATTTCACAACCGCCACCTCTGCAAAACCCATCAGCAGAATATGACCAACCGCTCAAAGAACAATTTTGGAAAATGGCACCAATTGAGCTCCAAGAGCTGATACAAGAGCAGCAAAGAAAAATGGAAGATTTGCAGGATCAGATGAATAGATTCCAGTCATCGTCATCAACAACAGAACAATATCCAGTGCCTATGTCTATGTATGGTTCAACTGTTCATAGCAGTCAACCACAAATGTATCTCAACAGTGCAGGACATATAATACATTCTCCACAACCAGTATATACAATGCAACCAACAATTTCTGTACAAGGTGTAGTGCCAATACAAGTTATGACACCGCAAGTACCAATGCAGACTGTAGAAATGCATCCATCATTTACTGCAATACACATGCAAGGACAAATTCCAGAAAGCTTGTCACGGCAAACAAATAGAAAAGATTTATAAATGTAATCCACCTTACAGTAGTGTCAAGTTCGTTTCTATGATTGCTGGCGATAGTGAATATGTCTTTGCTAATACGTATTTGTATGTAAGATAAAAAGGATGTCTTATTACAATTAAACAGTCATAAAAACGCTCACACCACTGTAAGGAGGAATAGTCAACTTGTCATCAAATTATAACGATACTATTTTTCAGTAATTTTCGGGAAATGTTTACATGTATGTTGGGCCAGTACTACTCAGGACAGTTTTTTTTTTTTATATTTCGATGAAAAACATTCAAAAATACCTTGTATGGGACAGTTAATTAGTTCCTGTATATATCATAAAATAAAACAATACACGCATATAAGGCATTGAACCATGTCTGATATTCTGATAAAGTTTAACATTAATTTCATATACGAGAAAGTCATTTAACAAGGAAATTGATGATTGATTTCTTTTAATTTACATCAAGAATGCGCAAGAACTGTTCATAGAACAGGTTGAAAACCATTTTATGGATATGACCTTCAATATTCGATACTCAAGTATTTCAAAATCACATGCTGGTATATTATTTTAGCAATTAGGGTTTATAGAATTTCAATATCGATATTGTATAGCTAGTTTTAAATTTTAAAATACTGAAAATTTGATCATGTCTCGATTTTAAACATTTTAGACAAAAAAATGAATGTTGATGCTAAATTAATAATATGGCTCCAATACTGCCTGTGTGTATATTTAATAATAATGTAAAAATGGAATGACTATTTACAATACCAAATCATATCAAACATATGTATTAAGCTATACAGTATTAATAACAAAACAAAAAATAAGTTATTCTAAATCTATGACATTTACCCAACACTTCTTTACTATGCAATATTACTCTTTAGCAATATATACATAACTTTTTATTCCCTGATACTATATTTTGGGTATCAGAAATCTGTTTAAGCCAGAAATACGTTTCATCTCATTTTTCACTTATACCTGAAATAGAATATTTTTTAGTAATTTTCAAAGATGTGCATGTTAAAAAGCAAGATTCTAAAACACAGGATCAAACACAAATTTAACATATTCTTTCTACATTTCTATTATGCAGAAAGAGATCACCCTGTGGTTTCATTGTGTATCTTTTTTATCTTTTTTATCTTTGGTTTCATATATATCTTAAGAATGTATACTATTTTATATATAATGTATTTTTTTAGATTTCTAAGGCAAGCAGCAGTAAAAGGAATGTGACAGAAGACCTAAATCAAAAATGACATCAGCTTTTGTTTGACAAGAAATAGCTAAATAGAATGATCTCAGTGGAAGCTGAGATTAACAGGGGGTTGGGCAAGGGGATAAATTTGTAAATTTGAAACTAACATATTAAATATTTCAAGTTAATTTGTATTTTATTTGTACATTTGTACTCCCTAGTATTTATTCGTCAAAATTTAAAAACCTTTGGGTGTCATATTTTTTCCAGCCAAATTTTGGTACATTTTTACTATTTTATTTGATAATTTTAAGCTAAATGAACATACACCATATTGGTTATGGGACTCCATCAAAATTTGAGAAAAAGATGAAAATTATGTTGTGGTTTTTTTTTGGTTTTTTTTGTATAGGATGGCTAAAGTTTACTCAAAAGGTGAATCTTGTAATTTTGTTAAATTTCTAAACACTGAACATAAAGAAAATTGAACGAGACCTCCTCACCTAGCAGAATGTTTTGAATGAAGATAACTCATTTTGCAGTCTAATGGCTACAAGTTTTTTCGGGTGATTACTATGGTCAAAGTATATCTTCATATTTTGAAAAATTCATCGAGTATAGCTTAACACTTCAGGAAATTGATATTTTAGTAAATTTCTATTAAGATTAATATTTTAACTATTACATTCATTCTCTCAATTCCGTATGTTCAAAGGTTAGAACTCTTTTAACAAATCAATGTTAAGCAATTGCCATAGAATGTATTTTAATATAGAATTTCTGAGACATGCACATATTACCAAGACTTTAACCATTCACACTGTGTAACAAACAGGAAATGTATTCAATTTTTTTTAATTGAAATGCATGCACTGTGAAGCTTTAAAATTAGGATTCTTAAATATTTCTATATGATGACTTTTTTAAGAAGTCACTTTTTTGAATATCTGTTACTTACTGTTAATTTTGTACCATAAATTCCTCAATTTGCAATCATCAGTTTTGGTATAATTCGAGATAGTAGGCTAAACAAAGGCAACACTTTGTTTTTTAGTGCATGCCAACCTCATTCATCCATATATTTTTTTATTTGTTGGTAATAATATTTTATCAATACTATTTGCTGGTACAACAACATTAGACTTACCAAGATATTATCTGTAAGCTCTATATAAGTCAAAAGTAATAACTACTGTGAAATACTTTATTTTCGTTCGAATTAATTTTTGCTGAAAAGGCTTTTTGGGCGTTTTGTATGGAATTTATTTTCATGAATTTTGATGAGTTTAATGTGAAATATAGGAAAAATGTATATTCGCTAGATTTTATTTTTTTACGGAATCATCCCTTCAGCGAAAATAAATTCCAAGCGAAAATAAAGTATTCTACAGTAATACACATAACTCAATAATTCCTATTTCATAGATTGAACGACTAAATGATTGTAAATGACAATAACAAATCAAAAATACGCATTTGTATGTAGTAAAAACCTTGCAAATCTGCACTTCAGACAAATACCTTTTTAAATATCAGAAATATGGAAATGCATATTTAACTTTAATTCTCTGAGCCCCAAAATCCACTTTTGTCACCTTCCAAAAAATCTGCATACAAGTTTCCATATTTTTTCAAATAGGTCCAAAATTACCGTTAAAAAAAAATGTCACAAAATTTTGGCAGGAAAAATTATGAAGTTCAAAGGAATAATATATCACGATTAGTGGTAGTTGCTGCTTCGTTCAAATATGGAGCTCACAGAAAATAGTAAATGTAGCTCATTTGTATAGTAAACTGAAGCATTTTTATATTATTTTATGTAATCAGCGAGTTCTAACACATTACTTTTTATTGTAAGATTTGTGTTCAAAGTTGGGGCTGAATCCTGTAACGAATCCATTATTTTACTCTTTATTACAATCATTTCCATAAATATATTACTATTATTCTAGCTATAACATAGAATCAAAAATTTGGTTTTCTGTGTAGATTAGTTACCGTTCTTTCACTACCGACGTCTTTCCCACCACTTTTTTTAAAATAGATTTTTATTACTTTTTTTTTTAATTGGAACACAAATAATTGTGTTGTGATATGGTAATGTGGGGGGAAAGAGGGATAATTTGAGGGTCAGTGAACACATATACTCAATGTAACAACAATTATGTATTTATTACCAACAACTGATTGAAAATGAATTTAAGTCTTTTTTTTTTACTAACTCAATGCACATTATTTTATACAGCTTATTGTTCAATTAATCATGGCAAACATTGTTAGTGCTGGAGATCTTGGAGCTTTCACTATTATTGTCAACGTCAATATTGTCACCTTCCACAAGTAGTCCTCTTCCACTGAATGAATTATTATTACCATATTTGCACTATTAGAAGTGCATCTAAGTAAGTAAGCAACTATGTGAGATTGATTCAACACAACACTAAATTATAGAATGATTTTATAATCTGGTCCTAGAAAAGATATGTTGAGAAAGATAGATATAACTTGATATGACTGCAAACTTCTTCATGACTGTATAGGTACCTCTACTCTACACCATTCTACATGACTTAGGTACCTCTACTGTACACCATTCTCCATGACTTAGGTACCTCTACTCTACACCATTCTCCATGACTTAGGTACCTCTACTGTACACCATTCTCCATGACTTGGGTACCTCTACTCTACACCATTCTCCATGACTTAGTACCTCTACTGTACACCATTCTACATGACTTGGGTACCTCTACTCTACACCATTCTCCATGACTTGGGTACCTCTACTCTACACCATTCTCCATGACTTGGGTACCTCTACTCTACACCATTCTACATGACTTAGGTACCTCTACTGTACACCATTCTACATGACTTAGGTACCTCTACTCTACACCATTCTCCACGACTTAGGTACCTCTACTGTACACCATTCTACATGACTTAGGTACCTCTACTCTACACCATTCTCCACGACTTAGGTACCTCTACTGTACACCATTCTCCATGGCTTGGGTACCTCTACTGTACACCATTCTCCATGACTTAGGTACCTCTACTCTACACCATTCTCCATGACTTGGGTAATGCAACATTTTGATTATTACAAATGTAATTTTAAGATGAAACTATAAGCAAGGTGACAAAGTTGGTCATTGTAGGGTTAAAACAGAATACCAAGTTTGATAATAACAATAATCACATTGATATCCATGGTTGCCAACCAAAAACTATGAATTGTAACTTTTTTTTTAGTATTTATTTTTTTTTTGCTGGTACAATGTAAATCATGAAAAATTGGTGAATGGTACTCTGCTAAAGAAAATGGGATGATGATTTGAGGCATTTACTACTTATGGTATATCACAATTTGCAGGCTGAGATCATTCCTATTGAGGTCTTGATGACTTATGTGATATATGCGCAATTAGTGAGAAATATTTTGGAATATAACATTGTACCCAATTACTGCACAGTAATAGAAGGTGGAATCTACATACAATAAAACACTAGCAAATAAACGAATGGAAATTCAAACCATTCTGAAAATCGTTGAAAATTTTTGTCCCACAATTCAAACCTTAATGCATCACCTGTTGGGGCCATTTGTTCGCATTCATTTCGACTATCCATTATAGCTTTAGCAGGTGATGTATTAATAATATTTTACATAATAGTCTCAATACCCCAATAAAACTATACAAATGATCTTGGAGTGTAACTTTCATAACAAAATTTGCTCATATTTATGTATTTTAAGCAATAAACTATTTTTAACCTGAATATATAATCAAACCTGATTGGCTGTACATTTTCTGTATGTGTGGACTGTAATGTTTGGGAAGGACCTTGATTCTGTATGTGTGGACTGTAATGTTTGGGAAGGACCTTGATTCTGTAGGTGTGGACTGTAATGTTTGGGAAGAACCTTGATTCTGTAGGTGTGGACTGTAATGTTTGGGAAGGACCTTGATTCTGTATGTGTGGACTGTAATGTTTGGGAAGGACCTTGATTCTGTATGTGTGGACTGTAATGTTTGGGAAGAACCTTGATTCTGTATGTGTGGACTGTAATGTTTGGGAAGGACCTTGATTCTGTATGTGTGGACTGTAATGTTTGGGAAGGACCTTGATTCTGTAGGTGTGGACTGTAATGTTTGGGAAGAACCTTGATTCTGTAGGTGTGGACTGTAATGTTTGGGAAGGACCTTGATTCTGTATGTGTGGACTGTAATGTTTGGGAAGGACCTTGATTCTGTATGTGTGGACTGTAATGTTTGGGAAGAACCTTGATTCTGTATGTGTGGACTGTAATGTTTGGGAAGAACCTTGATTCTGTATGTGTGGACTGTAATGTTTGGGAAGAACCTTGATTCTGTATGTGTGGACTGTAATGTTTGGGAAGAACCTTGATTCTGTATGTGTGGACTGTAATGTTTGGGAAGAACCTTGATTCTGTAGGTGTGGACTGTAATGTTTGGGAAGGACCTTGATTCTGCATGTGTGGACTGTAATGTTTGGGAAGGATCTTGATTATGTAGGTGTGGACTGTAATGTTTGGGAAGGACCTTGATTCTGTAGGTGTGGACTGTAATGTTTGGG